TGCTTCTTAGTTCAAGTAGATACATGAATCTAAATGGGCAGCTCCTGTCCAGAGGCGAGATGAGAAGGCAGAAAGGGACAGAAGCTGGTTTAATGGACACAGGAAATCTGGGGTGGAAAGGAGGAGTGTGTTGTCACAGTATGGCGAGAGCAACTAGGGTTACATAGCAGTGTGTGTATAAATTTTTCTATGAGAAATTAACTTGAACTGCAAACTTTCATTTAAAGCACAATACAAAAATAAATAAATAAAAAGAATGTGGCCCCTACGGTAGGATGGCTCTAGGGCATGTTACCTAACAGAGCCATAGCATTAGGAGTGGCTCACTGGCAATGTGGTAATGGCCATCATGCCATGTCTTGGACACTTGAGAGTTCTTTAAATGAAAGCACTGTCTGAGGTTTTGGGGTGACCTCACAGTCCTGTTCAAAGTTACATTATCTTCTACAGGGGTAACTGTGCATGGGTGGGTTAATCATTAGTCTTTCATTATATAAAATTTAGAGTAAAAGTTGGAAAGCTGGAGTTCCATTTAAAGAGCCCACATTTTAGAGCCGCTGCTGAGTCTGCAGATGTTGAGAAATACACTGGTGTAAACACAATTAAAGCAGGTAGCGCTAATAAACAAGCTGGGGGAATGGTAGTGTCCCAGAGTATTTCATTTCATAACACACCTGGGCAGGCAGGGTCCTCAGTCCCTGAACACATTCAGTCATGCAGTGCAAAGTGACCCAGGAATTTGTGTTCAACCCAGAGTCAGCAGTTAGAAGGGTTACAAATTTTCATTGAATTTTTGATGTTTCAAGTTACTAGTTCATGGCTGGTCACATTTTTAGATGAAACAATGCATTTCCAATTTGTATTTATTTAGAACTCAGGAACGGGCATGAGCATGGCATGTTTGGGCTGATTGAAGCATAAATGAAGTGAGATTTTTCCAACGCCACCCACATCATCTCATTTAATCCTCACATGGCCCCATTTGATATAGGTATCGTTATCTCCATTCAATGGATGAGAAAACTGAGGATCAAAGAGGTTAAGCAACTTGCCCAAGGTCATTTGGTGATAAATTGTACAGCCAGGATTTGAATCTAGGGAAAATCTAATAACCACTTCGGACTTTATTGTATGGACAATTTGTTGTACTGTAGATCTATAGTCCTTTTAGGTTCTTGAACTGGGGAATGACTTGATGAAAATGGATTGAAAGAAGAGCCATCTGGTGGTGTTATACAGGATTCACAGAGATAGGAGAGAAACAAGAATGCAGAGAGAACAGGTAGAAGGTTGTGGCAGCAATCCAGACACTGGAGATGGTACAGCAGCCTGACAAGAGTTTGTAACTAGAATACCTAGTTTTAGCCTAGACTCTGTCATAATTCTGTTGGCTGGGAAACCTTAGGTAAACTACAGCTACCTCTCTGAATCTTTGTTAAACCAAACCAAACCCATTGCCATCTAGTCAATTCCGACTCATGGTGACTCCTTGTGTTAAGAGTTGAACTCCTCCATAGGGTTTTCTTGGCTGTAATCTTTATGGAAGCAGATCGCCAGGCTTATTTCCTGTGGTGCTGCTGGGGGGGGGTTCAAACCACCAAACTTTAGGTTAGTAGCCGATTGCACACTGTGCCACTCAGGGACTCCTGAACCTTTGTTACTTACCCTTAAAATGAAGTGATAAGACTAGAAAATCTCTAGCTTCTTTCAAACTCTAAAATTCTGCCTGATGCCTTTAAAATTTTAACGCATTCTAAAGATTTACATATGAAGACCCTAAATATCATCCTGAATCCAGAAAATAACTTAGATGTAATAATTCTCAAATAACCTTCTCAAATACAAAGAATAGGATTGTTCTTAAGAATGCTTTCTAAATAAGATTATATTGAAGCAAGTCAATCATCTCTACATGTTACTGTTTTCTTTGTTTAAGAAAATGATTTGAGTATTGCTGCTGCAGCAGTGGTTTAATGATATTAACATCAAATAAGAATATTACTCTTGAAACAAATGAAATGATTTAAACCTCTCTCTAAGAAATTTTACACAAGTATACCTAAGAGGCACAAATTGTATTGTCATCAAATTAATCTGTTATCTAAGTTCAAATTTAATTTAAAATGAGATATTTCTTCAACTGACTCAATCAACAGACTTGCAAGGGATTTTAGATAGACAGCACAGGAAATAAATGTTGGAGCAAGCCATCCACACAATACTTGTTCTATGTTCTGTTACTTGTGATGCTTCTAGAAAGTATTTCTAACAACTCTCTGAGGAATTGGCTGTTGTTAGTGTGAAGCCAAGCTCATTTCTCTCAGTTCATACCCACAAACTTTTTTTCTCCATCCTTGTGTCCTATAACAAATCCATTTCCAAGACCTGCTGAGTCCTTTGTCTTCAGAATTTCTCAGAACTGGCCCCTCATCATCTACACAGACACTGTGGCTGGGCTATTATTCCTGGGTTGCTGAAATGGTCTCTTTAGAACAACTCAAAGGGCATAGGAATCTTTCTGAAATAAAACTTTCATCAGCCATTTCTGTTATTAAAACCTTCTGAGATCCCAGAGCTGAGTAAGAGCACCCTAAATTAATTTAGGGCTCCTCACATGAGATGGTGGCTATGCTAAGGTCTAAGGCCAAAATTCCATTTTGAATTAAAAGTAACTTCTGCATCGAGGATGTAGCCTGTCATTTCTAGAAGTCTCTGCTGTATCCTGAGAAAATTACCTAGTAAACAATTTTAGAGAACAATTTGTGATTTTGCTTAAGGGTTTTGCTTGTTTAAGAATATACCCTGCTCAGGAAACGGGATCCAAAATAATTCTCAGAACAGGTGCTTACTCAAGATAAACCTTAGAGGTCTCATGATTGTTTCAGGCCAGATGTATCCAACATAATGATTACTTTGTAACTTCAAAAAATTTTTAGAAATGTATGCAATCTCCTACCAATCAGATGTACCCTCACTCAATTTTGTAACCATTACCTAAATGTCAACCAATCACTGAATTTTTACTTAAGTTCTTGGTATTTTCTTATAAGAACTACCTGAACTGTCTTTTTCTCTGATCATTCAGTTCAGAATCCTCTGGACTTTGTGATTCCCAATTTGCAAATTGCCGTGGCTCTCAACAAAAACCCTTTAGTTTTAATTTGAACCTGGCTCTGCCATTGTGCTCTACGACATAGCTTATAGGATCAAATCTAAGTTCTGTGGTTGAGATGCCCATTGTTCCAGCTAGACAAATGCACTGGCTTTCTTTACAGACTTTAATCCTCCACATCTTTGAGATTTTGCCACTTGGAATACTTTGCTCTTTCTCTCTGCCAACTCATGACCATCATCTCCTCAATTCTGCCTTGAAACTCACTTCCTCCAGGAAGTTTTCCTTGTTAAGTAGTTATTTAGCAAATAACTCCTTTTTTTGAATTTTTAATCACATTAAGCGCTTTTAAGATAAATTATCCAAGTCTAGGGGGAAAAAATTATATTTTCTATCTTTAAGAAACCAGCCAGAGTGATTTTACTTCGTGAGAGCACTCCAACTTTTAAGTGTCTGCCTTTTTGCTAGGAATCCATACTACAAGCAGAGCAAAATGACTTTTTATGGTGACCTCTAGTGGGCGCAGGGCAATCCTACAAAATTTTGAAAAGTGAAGGGCAAAATAAAACCCTTGCCAGTAACCATCCTGATTACTCTATGGTCAGATAACCGCATCCCACCCAACCCCACCTTTCTTTATTAATTTTTTTCCCAGTATTTGTTTTGCATCTAACATAGGTTGCCTTACAACTCACCTGTTTCGCCTCTGGCAGGTACTGCGCGGGCTGGGCTGCCGGTGACGGATGTCACGTGAATTGCTGGTAACAGTTTAAAATAATCCCTGCCAAGTGGAACCCACTGCCTGGGCATCGAAACTGAGCGCGGGGCAGTTCGCTCTGTGGAGCCCTAACCGGCTCTTCATGCTCTGAGGGCTGGTGCTGTAGCCAGCTCGAGGGTGCGTGGGGGAAATCAAGACATTGTGAGAAGGAGAAGCAGATAAATGCAACGAGAAATTTGGTTCTTGCCAGTAGCAAAGCGATTTTCCCCAGACTTTCACCCCTCTCTACGGGAAGCATCACGACGGGTCCAGCCGGGCTAAAACGTACGCAACCTCTCCGGACGCGTGCCGCAGAAAGCGGGGGTAGGGGCGCCTCCTGTCTGGGGAGGCAGGTGGGCGGGAGTCAATGAGGCTGGATGCTGGGGGGTGGGTCCGCCTTCAGAGCAGCCGGTATGTGGTTCTCCCTGCGCGGGAAGAGGAAGAGCAAAGTCGGCCGGAAAAGCAGTGGCTGGGGTGGCGTCTCTGAGAGATCCTTCGGGGCGGTCTCAGAAACCCAGCTGGGTTTAGGATAGTTTCTGCGGAAAGCTCTCCAAACGCCCTCTGTCTCCGCCCCTCGTCCCCCTCCTCCAGTCATTACCTCCGTACCCCTCACCACCCTCACAGCCTCCCTTTTGGGGCTGTTAAAAAGGCCCTGGGAGCGCTGGTGGCCGCAGTGGTTAAAGCTCTCGGCTGCTAACCAAAATGCCAGTGGTTCGAACCCACCAGCCGCTCTGTGGGAAAAAGATGTGTCAGTCGGCTTCTGTAAGGATTTACAGCCTTGGAAACCCTACATGGCAGTTCTACTTTGTCCTATAGGGTCGCTATGAGTCGGATTCGACTCGATGGCAATGGGTTTGGTTTGGTCTAAAAGGGCCTCTGTGCGCTCCTCAAGTCATGTCCGTGCTTCGGGCGGGATGCAGGCGTCGGGACCCCAACCATGGTGCTTCGCTTCCCCCCTTAACTCTGGGCTCCCTACTCCTCGCATCGCCGCCCGGCGGATCCCTCCAGGCCGCTGCGGGCTGGAGCGGAGGGGGAAGACGGCGTCACAGCGCGGGGAGCCCGAGGTCCAGGGCGGGGCGCAGGGAATCCCAGCCCGAGCGAGCCGGGGAGAAGCCGGCGCGGGCGAAAAGAGGAGGGAGGCGCGCAGAGGGTGCAGAGCGGAGCGGAGAGGAGGTTGGACCGCCAGGGAGGCCCCGCCCCGCCCCTCCAAGCCGGCTCCTCGCCGCCTCCAAACCAGCTCACTTTGCCTTTCGCCTCTGGACGGCCGCGGGGCGGCTGCCGAGCCTCGGCTGACGGGAGCGTCGGGGACCTGGGAGCCATCCCACACCGGGGCCTCTTCGCGGCACCCGCTCCCCTCAAGGGGAAGGGCATCGCTGCCTTAGAGAGGCACCCCGGCCTCGGAGGGGGCATCCCCTGTGCGCGAGGGGCGGTGGCGCTGACACAGCCTCTTCCCGGCTAGTGGGGCGCAGCGCTGGCTTTTAAGGGGACTCTCCGGCTACCCACAAGTACTGCCGCGCGGAAGGCGCGTAGCTAGCAGCGAGGCTGGGCTGCCAAGCAGGCTAGAACCCGGAGCGGCTCCCCAGCCAGCGCAAGGCAAGAGCGAAGCCCCGAGGGAGAGGGAGCCTGATAGCCCGTCGCCCCCGACGGCGCGCTCTCCGGTCTGCAAAGAGCAGCCAAGCCCCGTGTGGCGGCTGGGGGGCGGCGGCGGTGCCCCCGGGCCGAGGGGCCCCGGGGCGGCCAGCCATGACCTTCGGGCGCAGCAGGGCGGCCTCGGTGGTGCTGAACGTGGGCGGCGCCCGGTACTCGCTGTCCCGGGAGCTGCTCAAGGACTTCCCGCTGCGCCGAGTGAGCCGGCTCCACGGCTGCCGCTCCGAGCGCGACGTGCTCGAGGTGTGCGACGACTACGACCGCGAGCGCAACGAGTACTTCTTCGACAGGCACTCGGAGGCCTTCGGCTTCATCCTGCTCTACGTGCGCGGCCACGGCAAGCTGCGCTTCGCGCCGCGGATGTGCGAGCTCTCCTTCTACAACGAGATGATCTACTGGGGCCTGGAGGGCGCGCACCTGGAATATTGCTGCCAGCGCCGCCTCGACGACCGCATGTCCGACACCTACACCTTCTACTCGGCCGACGAGCAGGGCGTGTTGGGCCGCGACGAAGTGCGACCCGGCGGCGCCGAGGCGGCCTCCTCCCGACGCTGGCTGGAGCGCATGCGGCGGACCTTCGAGGAGCCCACGTCGTCGCTGGCAGCGCAAATCCTGGCCAGCGTGTCGGTGGTGTTCGTGATCGTGTCTATGGTGGTGCTGTGCGCCAGCACGCTGCCAGACTGGCGTGCCGCGGCCGCCGACAACCACAGCCTGGATGACCGGAGCAGGTACTCTGCCGGCCCTGGGAGGGAGCCCTCCGGGTAGGACGCACTGCTTCTTGGCTCGTACAGTCCGTCCTGTCGAGTCTGTCCGTCCCGTCCGTCTGTCCCGTCTTCGTCCTGTCTGCCTTTGGGCTGCTGAGCCAGACTGGGTTCATGGCCCTGCGAGGCCCCAGGCTTTCCAGCTAAGGGATAGGTTGGTCCCCACCGCTGTCCCCATTTCCCGGGCAGAAGCTAGGTCTTGCCTGCACACGAGAAGCCCGTCTCTTGAGGGCGACATCAGGCACGAGGGGGGCGGATAGAGATTGGCAAATTTCCCCTCTTTGTAGTTTACTTTTGAGCAAATAGCATCCGGCTAATTAGATTTCTTTAAACTTTTATTGTTCTTTTGCAGCAATTTAATCTTGAGCTAAGAGCAGTTTGAATAATTTGCCTAGTTTTGGTGGTGTTGGAAAAGATGAAGTCTTGTTGGGGTGAAATGTGGTCTGCTGTACACTGCCCACATATTCTGTATACTCTGCCCTGGGTGTAGTGTGTCCTCTAATGGAGTTATTATATCATAAAGGAGATTAATTTAGAGAGAGACTCTAAATAATGGATAGACTGTGCCCTTTTTTTTTCTTCCTACAAAGTATGAAGTTAGCAAAGCACCTGCCCATTATTTGGTACCAAAGATTCACAGTGTAGGTTTCAGAGGGGTCTGCAGTATGGGGAGGGAAAAACCCGTTATCATAGGAGGGAAGAAAATCTAAACTGCCATTACTAGAAACACTATTCGGGTAGTTTATGATTTTTTTCTTTTCACTTTACCGGGATGAAAGGAAAATATTTTAATCTTTCCTGAGACCGCGTTTACTTTTCAATGATGATACCTTATTTCTGTTTTTAGTGCTAGTGAGTTTAATTTGCACATTTTGTGGGAGGAATAAACAGAATAAGTTGGCTTTTCAAGTACAGCAGCCTTTTGGGGATGAAAACCAAACTGTGTAATTTATTTTGTTTTACCTTTGCTTGGTAGTGTTTTAAGATTCCTCCTCCATTCATTTTTTAAATTCATGGTTGCATCTTGTAATTTTTTCCTGATAGGAATGGTGTTCTGTGCCCTGATATTACAGTGGATTACTTCCACATAATATTCTTCCTTTGGGGAATAAAGGTTTTTGTATAAATCTAAGAAGTAAATAAAATTGTCAAGTACCACAGAGTCTATTACTGATAAGCCATCTGAGAACGAAAGCCAAGATATATGTTTTGAAAGAAAATTCATTAGGAAGCTCATTTTGTTTAGTGTATTAAGTTCCGAGTTTTCAATTTACAGATAGGAATCATTTATTTGGTACTCCAACAGTACAATAAAGTTAATTTATATACCTAAATACATAAGTGCCCTTGATTCTTTTAGAGAGCCATATGAAAATGCATCATAAATGACTGGCCTTGAAGTGATTCAATAGTAATTAAAGAATTCCAAGACTAGTTAAGGGTCTACGTTAGCAAAGGGAGCAGGAGAACTGAGTATAGTTATTGAGGAGGTTGGCTAAACCAATATACTGTATTTTTTGCAAATAACGCACCCACACATATAATGCATATAGTACGCCTAGGAGGATACAGGGGTTGCCCGGTTGGCAACAAAACAAAACAAAATGTATAATGAGCACATTATTTGCATAAAAATGGTATAGGCAGAAACAGTGAAATAACCTGCATAATGTATTTTTTTCAGGGATGAGAGGCAGTTTTGGGAGAAGAGAAGGGCATTCTGGAGATCGTTAATGTAAAAGCATTTGGATAAAAATGAAAAAAGGGAATAATAATTTTAGAGAAGGAGAGGAAGAGAAGAAACCCCCGAAAGGAAAAGAGAGATGAAAAAGAGGGAGACTGCAAAAGAAATGAGGGAAAAAATAAGAGTAATGCTTTATTTGTGTATATGTACTTTATGTACGTATATAATTATTCAAGTCAGAACTGTTTCCTTAGATACCTAGATATTTTAGGCAAAAGCGTGTTTTTCTTGGCTTAATGGCCCAGTTTTAAGCTTCACTTTGTGAGTGTAGGTATGTGAAAATCAATATACGTAATCCCAAACAGATAAACTAAAGGATGGCTGAGTGACCAAGGATGCTGCATGTTACAGGGGATCCTCTCCCCGGCCTCCTTCAACAGAGAGGGACCCTAAGCTGGCACTTCGAGTAGCCTCGTAGCTGGGCTTCTTTCTGATACAGTCTTTCAAACAAACCCTGCCTCTTTGTGGTGGCTAAAATGAGTCTTTCTAAAACATCATTTTGAGCATCTACCAAGTAAAGTCAAAACTTCTTTCCTGGCCTTCAAGGCTCTTTCCAGTTTCACCACAACCTGCCTGTCTTGACATATCCTGTCATTACTTGCAAGCATCTTTTTAATATTGGCTGTGTTCAGGGTACTGTCGGCGTTCCAGTATTGCATAAATACTGCATTCCAGTATCGTATTTTTTTTGTATAAGAAAGGTATCAAGTTGGTGATGTAGGGATTAGAGGCACAATTGATCACTCAGAGTTGAATTCTTTTGAGAAGGCCTTCAAGGTGGGGGAGGATGCAAACAAGCCGTTGTCGAAAGGTTGCAGAGGTTGTGCACTGCCCAACACTGACATGGGTGCTATTTATATAAACTATAATGTACTACACAACTTGCACAAACGTGTAGCCCCCTGGGAACAAAATAAGGAGAATGTTCCAGGTAAGGGAAATAGCATGAGCATAGGTGTGAAGTTTATATATTTTGCTTAGGGAACCCAGTGATGGAGTGAGAGGTGGATTAGAGAGCAGATGGTGGAAGGCCTTGAATGCCAGGGAGAGTGATTTTATTTTGCAGGCAGTGGTAAGGCATTGGCAGTTTTGTGAGTGTAGGGGTGAGTGGGTTATGCATATGAAGTAATGAGTGTGGTGAGATGCACACCATGAATTGGAGACGGGGAGAGATTGGAAACGGGAGCGTGAATTTGGAGATCTTCGCAGAGGAAGGGAACAAGAATGTGGATGGCTTTGTGATGAGGAGAATTGAGAAGAAGTGACAACTCTGGGAGATTTTAGGAAGAATCAAAATTAATCCAGGGCGTTGATACAGGCATCAGGCATAAGTGGACTCCCAGGAGCTAGGAGCACTCCTCGCCACCTGCAGGCTCCACTTGCCCCAACTGGCCTGCTTACTTGTTCCTGAACCATCTGGATGTCCCTTACTGTAAAATCCCATGGCTGTTCTTGAAATTGGATCATCCATCAAGCCCTGCTCAGATTCTATTTCTTCTGTGAAGCCTTTCATGATTAGCCTAGTAGATATGATGTTTTCTCCTGACCTTCTTGAGAGATTGCTTATTTGTACTACTTATTTTGCATCTGTAACATCCTGTCTAGTATGGTAGTTATTTTTCATACATCCACGTCCTAGCTTCTAAACCAGATTTAGATGAAAATCCCTAGCAGGCAGATAAGTTGTCTTATATGATTTACTAGCACAGTGTCTTTTTAGAAGAGTTACTATTTAGGCACAATAAATATTTGTTGTTAATATTACATTTTAAAATCTAGCCTTCCAGGAATACATCTATTGTGTCAGTTGAAGAACAGTTTGGGGTAAGGCAGTGGGGTTCAGGTGCCGGAACTCTTGGGTGATGAGGACAGATCCTGCACTGAGAAAAAAGTCTGTTAAATCAAGGAACAATTATATATCAAGCACTTATTGTGCAGAAGGAATACAGGTAGGAGTGGGGTTCCTTTGTATTAACCACTGACGTTTTGAACTAGCACACAATTTTAAGTTTGGAAGAAATCTTGAGAGGTCTTCCAAATCAGTAATTTAAAACTTTTGGAGTATGAAGGTGATCTTTAAATTGATTTGTTTTGGATGGTTAATAGTCATACAAACAGTGGTTCAAAATCTGGAAGCTATAAAAATAAGCCTTTCTGCACTCCCCAGCTATCCCTTCTTCTTAGAGGTCACCACATCTAAGAGCGAGAGATGAGGTTTGAGGGAGGCAGGGGCTGATCCAGCAGGGCCTTATCGGTCATGGGAAGGAGTTTGGATTTTATTCCAAGTGTGACAGGGAAACCTTTGGAAGGTTTTGAGCAGAGAAAAGATATGATTTGATTTGTTATGTGTCATTTCAGAGCCATCCTATGCATTTACAAGTATATCCATATATGTTTACAAAAAGCAGAGAGATCAACAAATAAGTGCATTACAGTGTCCTCAAACTTGCTTTTTTAACTAACCAACATGTTCTGGAGATTGTTCCCCATGAGTCTATTGAGAGAGACCCTATTCTTTTATGCAGCTGCATAATACTCCATTGTATTGATGTCTCATATTAGCTGGGCATGTAGGAGATGCTGTAGTGAATATCCTTGTATGTATGCATTATTTTGTTTTTATGCAAGTGTATTCCTAGGATAAATTCCTGGAAGTTAAATCACTGGGTCAAAGGGCATATGCACTTGTAATTTTTCATAGAGAATTCTGAATGTTTGCCAAAAAAATGGTACCAACTTATACTCCTACCAGCAAAGTATGAAAGAGCATGTTTCTTCATACTCTACGAAGTATTACTTTATTTTTAATCTTTACAAAGCTGAAAGGTGAAAAAATGGTATCTAGTAGTTTTAATTTTTGTCATGTTGTAAGTAACATATATTTTTATATATATTTAAGAGTCATTTATACTTTCCTTTTGTGAACTATTTATTCCTTTTGCCCATTTTGTCAGAGTTCCTTGGTTTGAAGGAGTTTTGAAAATACTTTAAGAAATTAGCCTTTTGTTTAGAATATGAGTTGCAAATATTTTGTCCTCTGATTTAGGATCCCGTTTAAAAATCACAGTTGCCCAGAAGATAGTAGCTGTACTTTTAGTGTCTACTCGTTGAGAAAAATACCTAATGATCAAAATATAATCATGAGTTTTAGCCATTTACCAACTATTTATTGAGCTTCTCTAACTGTGCCAGGCAGTGTGCCAGGCACTGTGGATACAGAGGAAAACAAGGCAGAGTTCCGGCTCTCATGGAGCCG